GCTGAAAGGGCGGCACGAAAGCGAGAGTCAGTAGCGCGCAGGTGAGAAACTAGGTCCTCAGCAGTGGTGAACGAGGAAAGATCGGGGAACAGGTACGGTAGCATGAGTCGACCTATGGCTGCAGTGGCCGGGGAGGAGTAGCGCGCAACTACAGCGTCGTACAGTGTCTTAGCAGTTCTGTGCTGGCTGAAATGCGCTCGCTCAGTAATCGGCAGGTGGTTCCTAATAGCTAGGCGTGCAGCAGCATCACGAGTCTGCCACTGGGAGCGTTCTAGAGCAGGAGCATCAGCAGCAGGAGCAACGGCAGTGCCAGAGACGTAATCAAACAGGGAAACGCCATCTTTGGAATCAGTCAGAAGGAACAGCTGGAGATCGTCTAACCACACAGTGAACTCGATGGGACGACCGCCAGGCTCGAACACTAGAACGTTAGGCGTCGCCATATTGGCTTAAGGCAGGAGGCAGCAGGCAGCAGGCAGAGGCAGCAGGCACCAAGTAGGAGGCAGGAGGCAGAGGCAGGAGGCAGGGGCAGCAAGCAGCAGGCAGGCAGCAGGCAAGCTGCAGGCAGGCGGCAGCAGGCAGCAAGCAGGCAGGCAGGCAGGCGGCAGGCAGGCGGCAGCAGGCAGCAAGCAGGCAGGCGGCAGCAGGCAGCAAGTAGCAGGCAGGCAGCAGGCAGGCAGCAGGCAGGTTGCAGGCAGGCGGCAGTAGGCAGCAAGCAGGCAGGCAGGTAGGCTGCAGGCAGCAAGCAGGCAGGCGGCAGCAGGCAGGCAGGCTGCAGGCAGGCGGCAGCAGGCAGCAAGCAGGCAGGCAGGCAGGCTGCAGGCAGTAAACAGGCAGAGGCAGCAGGCACCAAGTAGGAGGCAGGAGGCAGAGGCAGGAGGCAGGGGCAGCAAGCAGCAGGCAGGCAGCAGGCAAGCTGCAGGCAGGCGGCAGCAGGCAGCAAGCAGGCAGGCAGGCAGGCGGCAGGCAGGCGGCAGCAGGCAGCAAGAAGGCAGGCGGCAGCAGACAGCAAGTAGCAGGCAGGCAGCAGGCAGGCAGCAGGCAGGCAGCAGGCAGGTTGCAGGCAGGCGGCAGTAGGCAGCAAGCAGGCAGGCAGGTAGGCTGCAGGCAGCAAGCAGGCAGGCGGCAGCAGGCAGGCAGGCTGCAGGTAGGCGGCAGCAGGCAGCAAGCAGGCAGGCAGGCAGGCTGCAGGCAGTAAGCAGGCAGGCGGCAGCAGGCAGGCAGCAGGCAGGCGGCAAGCAGGCAGGCAGGCAGGCTGTAGGCAGCAAGCAGCAGGCAGGCAGCAGGCAGGCTGTAGGCAGGCGGCAGCAGGCAGCAAGCAGGCAGGCGGCAGCAGGCAGCAAGCAGCAAGCAGGCAGCAGGCAGCACGCAGGAGCGTCCTGAGGGCTGCGTGTGGCGGCTTGCTGCACGAGGCTGCAGGCTGCGCGTGGCTACGGGCAGCGCGCGCGGCCGCAGGCTACGTGCGGCGACGGACTGCGCGAGCTGCGGGCTGCTTGCAGCTGCGGGCTGTGCGTGGCTACAGGCAGCGTGCGCGGCTGCATTCTACGTGCGGCTGCGGGCTGGTCGCTAAGCTACGGGCTACGCTGGGCGACGGGCCGCGCTGGCGTGGCCTAATCAGGTTTCGCACGGGCGGCTTAAGGGGCGTACAGGCGGGGCCGAAACGGGCTACGCGGGCTGCTGAGACGGCGCACGTGGGAAAAAAAGGACCGCCCGAGGCGCGCGCGGGCAGCCGAGGCGCGCGTAGGCACTAGGTAAGACAGCCAATCGTGGTGGGCCCTAATCCTAGGTCCTAAGGACCTATGCTCTATACCATGTTAGAATCTTACGGGAAAAGCTGGGTGTCGACTATCGAAGGGAAAGGTACAAAGGAGAAACCTAAGGGGTTGTACCCCACAGTGAGTACCCCACTAAGCCTAACCAAACTATAACATATATACACATATGTTTGACAAAGCAGCCCTCAAAGCGAATAACACGGGGCATATTTGTCTGGTAGTCACCGCCAGGCGGTGCTGAGACCGCGGGAATCTGGGATTCCCTGTACTTCCGGGCAACTACACTCGGAACGTGTAGGAATCGCATCCGGTATCAGTTTCGTTACAACGTAGTGTAATCAGTGTCCATTAAAAAAAAAACCTGAAAGTTCAGAGTCATCTCGCCCCTAAAGGCTTATAAAACAGTCCCCCAAAAATCCGGACACTGGAAAATCAGGGTACCGTAGGTACAAAAAAATCCCTGAAAATTAGGGATTTCAAGGAAATATTCCTGATGTCGTAGGGCCTGGCGACGACTCGGATAACTGCTCAATAGTGAGTCAGTTATGTGTCCTTGCTGTTGCTCTGCTTTTCGGCGAGTCAAAGGTCGTTGATCTATGACCTTCACTTAACCTCTTGCTGTTGTCTTTCTTTCAACCGCTTTGGTTGAGTCGCTGTTGCTTCGTTGTAGTTCACTTCGCATACGTTGTAGTGTTCGACACATCAGAAGCGCGAACTATATGTTTCCAACACCCTTCTGCATGCCTTCACCCTTGTTGGGTTGAAAAGGATCCTTTTACTGGTAAATCACATGTAACTTTGTTATTTGAGTCGTTAATTAACATGAAAACGAGGGAACCAATGTCTCCAGGATTGAACGAAAATAACTATCCATGTACCGTATGTAAAATAGAAATCTGAAACACTACGTGAACCTGATAAAATGTATTGTTCCATTGCCACTCTTTTTGCAGGTTATGTGTATTCCATTAAAACGTAAGCTTGCAGTTACCGAGTATATCACACGAATTGTACCAGTACCCTTTGAGGCGTTATACCAACTATTATAAGATTTGCTTCTTAGATCTTCGAAGGATTTGGGACCGAATTTCGCATGAAATACCGCACAAGACAAGGCACGACAGTGCACAATCGCCTTCAACCGTCTACTGGTCCTTCATCGCCGGATTTTGTTCGTGGGGAAAACAAACTCCTAAAAATCACGTGCACAAGCACATGCGTTTGAAACGCCTCACCTACACTTGCCATGATCGAGAACGAGGAGACCCGTTTCGCGAAGGGTCGCCATCCAACTGCAGCACTGTCGCGAGAAACATGCCGCTTCGCCAGCTTTCGTGAACTTTCTGCTCCGTACAGCAGAATAGGAAACTACTGTGAATGAGCGTTTCTTGCAGTTACACTGTACGCGGGTTCGAAGAAAAGTCAGTCAGAACGCGTACAACCTCACCTCGGTATCCCCTGCTGCGCAACTCACAACAACGCGCTTTTATTTACTGTATGCTTAATTTTATCGCTGTACACACTCAAAAGGCTCATTCGGACTGGGAGTGTGTGGGGGAGGAAGTGAGCTTCCTTTTTGGTTGTGCTTCGAGTTTCGGAATTTGTGGTGGCGGCGTTCCAGTTTGAATCCAATTGGCCATACCAGTACTTCGAACACATTTTCCTAAAATATAAGTATGCCAAGGAATTTACAAACGTAGGGAGCTCTGGCATTACAGCCAAGAAGGTGTGGTTGGGAAAGAACTGTACTACGCATACTTGTGACTGAGGGACCACTTGTTACTAAGAATTGATGACCACCTTCTCCATCTCCTCTTCGAACAAACCCTAGAAAGCCTCCATGCCCTAGAACCATATCCCAAACTTCCGGGCATTTGAAATAGATCGCTGAAATTAGTAACTGGGTGTGGTACTGTACACGTATCTTCCAATTGGGACCCACTCCAGCACCTTGAGCCTAGGCTCTCAACTCATCACAGACTTAGCGCTCATGGTTTCCAGCTCACTGCTTGGCCTTCAAGCTTTCCAGCACTATTATCCAGCTCGATCCAGCTCGCTGCATCATAACTCGCACGGGGTGAGCCGTTGACCGCTGCCAGCGCACGTAGAAACTAGATCCGAATCTCATTATTCGGTGCAGCATACAGCTATCCGCATCGTCTGGATGTCAGACTGTAGTACAGTGTACTTTGCCTGTAATGCGATTTGCGATTCGAGGTACAGAACGGACTGTATGCGACGAGATATGGTGGGAGAGTGGGGGCCACGACATCATCTGATCATACGCCTTGTGTGGTTCCCACGCGATGGCGGTTAACTGCCGTCAAAAACTGAACTGTACGGGGGAGACTGTCACAGCTCGATGGCGCTTGCTCTGTGAGCCGCCAGACGCACTACACGATGGCCGGATGGCGCCGCGATGGCAGCAACGCGGTGGATTACGACGCAGTCGCGCTGTCCGCTGCTCGTTACGATTTGATTCGGCCCGGATTCTCTCACTTTCCATGCAAATGCCTTTCCCGCGCTCCTCCTCACTCTCGACTCTCGAAGCTCCTCTCACTTCTCTCTCTCTTCCTCGCGCTCATGTCGGCGCTGCGAGTGGGTGGGTATTTCGTGCGATCCTTCCGATCGGATCGCTCGAGTTCTGATTACGCTAGTAGTAACGTTCCTCTACTATTTCTCAAGAGGCGTTTCTTTCTTCACCAGATCCTCATTTCCGGGATCCCTAGCTAGTATCTTCCTCATCAAGAAGCTACTTGTTCCAATCAATCAAGTTTGCAATCACATCTGCTGAATTCTGGAGTGTAAGCCTTACATCGTCGCCCGCCCGCGGCCCACCATTCCGACGCCATCCAAGACTTGTTCACAACCCATCATCCGCGGCCCGCTGGACACAGCTGAGTCTTAAGACGTCTCAAAACGCCATATTAACGCCATCTAGAAACTCCAACTCCGAGTCTTCACAAACCCCTCCGCAGAAGTTGAAACAGTAAGCGTCAATCCCCAGCTCAATTCCATCAGGCTCCTCACAACCACGACAAGTTCCCACAAGCTATCAACACTGATACCACGCGTCTGGCCCAACATCTCGAGATCGCCGCTCACCTCCACCTCTGCTAGGAGCAACCCCCAGCTGAGCTCACAACTTTGTGAAGCGCCTGAAGCCGTTTGTTACTGCTACAAGTTGTGCTAGCCTGCTACAAAGGCCGACGCCAGCTACCAATCATGGCGAGTCACAGCACTTCGACCCTGCCTAGTAACAGCAGCGCTACCATCACCGCGCCGGACGGGACGTCAGAGTCTCTCGCCGCCGCTCTTTTCGCATTGGACGACCTCCCTTCGCCGCTCGCTTCGCTGCACGCCACGCTCCCGCCGCCGCCGGCTGCGCCTGCTTCTCGGAGTTCACTCCCCGAGGAGTCAAGAGCCCGCTTCGGCTGGTCCCCAGCCGGCCCTCGCGGGTTTCCCGACGAGGGGTTCGCGCTACTGCACGCCGAACCTCACGCCGAACCGCTGAACGAGCGTCTTGCCGAGCCTCGGATGACCGCTGTGGGCGGAACGGAGCCGGCTGGTGAAGCGGCCGCGCCGGCGGGGCTGGGATTGCTGACAGGGCTGACAGGGCCTGCTGAAGCTGCTGCAGCTGTGATGCAAGGAGCGGACGGTGAGGTGCAGATACAGCGCATGCTGGTTGGCCTTTCGAAGCTCGCATGCTCGCTGCGACAGCAGGAAGCAAAGCAGCAGCAGTCGGCGTGGCAGCAGCAAGCAGAGGAGCAGCAAGAAGCGCGTGGGAACGCGGTGGGAAGCAGCAGCAGCAGCAGCGACCTGCCTGACGAGGATGGAAGCTATGAGAACCAGAACCAGAACCAGAACCAGAACCAGAACCAGAACCAGAACCAGAACCCTACTAGCCATGAGCAAGAGCAGGAGCATGAGCACAGCACACGGATGAATACCGCGGCCGTTATTCCCGTGCCCAACGAGCCCATCTCGGCGCCTGCAGCACGCTCTCCGCAGCTGCAAGAGGCTGCAGGAGCAGCTAAGGCAAGGAAAGAGGAGGTGGCTTTTGACGCGACTCAAAAGTCGGTAGCAGTAGCAGCTGCAGTCGCAGCAGCAGCTGTAGCAGAGGCAAGGAGGGAGGAGGCGAGGAGGGCGCAGGCTGTGCTGTCGAGCCGTGTGATGGCGACTCTGCAGATGGGAGCAGGCAGCGAGGACGAGAGGCGGCAGCTGCTGGCCCTCCTGCTGGCGCTGAAGCAGGTGGAGGAGCAGCAGGAGCAGCAGGCGCAGCAGCAGACGCAGCAGAAGCTGAGGCAGAACGCACGGAAGAGACAGAGGCGGCAGAGGGCGATGGGAGGTCAAGAGATGTTAGGGAACCCTATATCGCCGCAAGTGCAGCAGCAGGAGCAGCAGCGGCAGCCTGAGCAGCAGGAGCAGGAAGGAAGGAATGAGGAGCACCGGTTCTTACCTGGCTCGCCTTTTCTCGCGGGAGCAAGTCCTGACCTCCACGGTGTAGGTGTAATGGGACGCATGGACGGGCGGGGAGGGGAGAGGAGCGGCAGTGGTGGCAGCAGTGGTGGTGGCAGCGGTATCGCCAGTGGTATTGGCAACGGTGTTCGGAACGACCCAGATTTTTCACTGCGTGGTGTTGGGAATGACGTCGATTTTTCACTGCGTGGTGTTGACAAGAGCCTCACCAGTGCTCTGAGTAATGAGATTCGTTTTAACGCAATGCGTGCGCATGGCATCAACAGTGGCGTTTTCAGCGGCGCTGCTGTGAACGTTGCGGGTGCGAATGTTGGCGACGGTGGGAGGAAGAGGAGAAGCCCCGAGGCCCCGGATGACCGCGCTACAGCCGCTCTCCAGTGGCAGCACGGCAGGCCGACCCCCGGCAACGGCTGCTACAGCCGCAGTGTGCTCGGACATGCGAATCAGAGTGGTGTACTGGATGGCATGCTCTTGAGGGATGCAGACGCAGCGCCAGAGGGGGCAGCACCGGCACACTCTACTTTGTCTCCTCTTCACGGCAGCATGGCGGTGGCAGCAGGGCACCTCCTGTTCCAGCAGCAGCGGCTGCAGCAGCAACAGCAGCAGCAGAGGTGTGAGCAAGCGTCACAGCCCCTGCCACCGGACGCCAGAAATCAGCGCTCTCGAGGCAGCGTTGGCTTGGCGGGCACAGGTACGGGAGGTGAACGCTCGGCACGCACAGGCTCGGGCGGTGCAGGTTCGGCAGGCACAGGCATGGGTGGTGCAGGCTCGGCAGGCGGTCCAGCAACTAGCAGCAGTGGGCAAGTGGGTGGGGAAGAAGGCACAGAAGGCATGCGAGGCATGCAAGGCATGGAAGAAATGGAGGGCACGGGTCAGTGGCAGTCTGATGAAGACCTTGGGGAAGCGGCGCTTGCACAACAGCCAGAGTGGGGCTCAGATGGCCTAGATAATCCCAAGGGCCGAGAGCGTGGCACCATGCAAGACGAGTGTGGCACGGACGACGAGTGGTTGCCTCGGTGCCAGGGCGTGAAGTCAGGTTCGGCGCCGAACAAGAGGATAAAGAGCCGGAGCATGGCGGAGCGGCGGAGGAGGGAGAGGATCAGTGAGGGGCTGCAGAGGCTGAGGGCAAAGGTGAGGGGGCGAGGGGACACGTGTGCGATGCTGGATAGAGCTGTGGGGTATGTAGATGCGCTGGAGCGACGGGTGGTTGAGTTAGAGAGGGTTGTTATGGCGGCTGCTGGGTCTGGAAGAAACGTTTTCCCCGGCAATGCATTTGCCGGTGGTTTTGCTGGTCGTGGTTTTGCCGGTAACGTTTTTGCTAATAATGCTGCGGCGCTGACGACGATACCGGTTGCGATGACATCCGTCCCGACTGGACTTGGGGGTGACGCTGTTGCCAGCTGGCCTTGGGAGTGAGGCACGGCTGGACAGAGATTTGGCCTGCATTGGAGCATCATATCATTTATCACACTCTTCTGATCTTTTATAAGTAAATGACATCCTTGTTGTGCCTTTTTCTTCTTGGTGTGTGACAGAAGATTGTTCTTTGTTCTGAAGCCAATTATTTTTACGTGTTAAAATGTATACCGTATCCAGCCCAGTAGAATGAGTCTCTGTTCCTTTCGACGTCTAAGCTACATGCGTGCAACCACGGATTTCATGACAGACCTGGCACGAAGTCCTTGCCTGCTGAAACGACCTAGCATAAACTCAACCCAGTGTCATGCTTTTACTTCTGAGGTCCCCGCCTCCAGCTTTTAAGATCCCTAGCAATATTTGCTTTGATAACGAATTGTATTGGCTTTCTGTATCCACTTCTCAGTTATTGTATTTACTGTGCAACACCTGAAACATGCACCCGTAACCAGCCCCAGAAACTGTACACAATAGAAGCTGGTGGCGATCTCGGCGACGGGCTTGCGAAATTAGATGCACCCTTGGGTCCACCCCTGCCCGAAAACTGGGCGTGACCGTGTTAGGCATATTACCAACAAGATAAACAGTCCCATTTGCTGGATTTGGGCTGGTTGGAGTGTAGTTTGTACATGCAATGGGGTTGCGGAACTAGTCATTATCACGTGTGCAAGCACATGCGGTTTGTAACTTCCTAACAGCACTTCGAAACACGAAGACCAGTGTCGGCAAGAGTCGCCATTCCACACGAAGCCTGTCGCGAAATAGCAAGCTGCTTCGCCAGATTTCGTGTCTTGAGCCGTTCCCCTCCTCACTTCTGGGTCTGGAAGTAGTTCGGCCTCGATTTCGGTTGCCCTCAATTTTGGTCGCCCTCGAAATTGTTCCGCCTCACCTCCCAGCCTTCCAGAGTAGTTTCTCTGTCGGTGCACTGAGTGGGGTCCAGCTGGCTTCCCGTCCCAGCTCACTGCCTTCCAGCTCACTGGCTTTCAGCTCAAGCTTCCAGCTCATGCCATTATCTGACATCCAGCGCGTTCCATCATGAATTGCAGCGTGCGAAGCAGTTGACCGTTGCCAGCGCACATATATTCGAATCTCGGATGTGATACAGTCGAGTCGATTGCCGCAGTCGGTGAACTTCAGATTGTAGTACGAGCTGCTTCGCGTCGAACCACTAGTGGTGCAAGAGAGTTGCCGCCACGACATCGAGGTAGTTGTGTACCACCCACGCTATGGTGGTTGACTGGCGAAAAGAACATGCGGCGAGAGTGTCACAGCGAGTGTAGGTTCGGAGTCGTCGTGGCGCTTCGCAATCATGTGCCGGAGTGGGACGGGACACACGTCCCCGGCACAATTTCGACTCGACTCGGAGTCGAATAAAAAATGTGCTCTTTCCTGGCCCGGCCCAGGGAAGGATCACCCGATGGTGGGGTGGCTCCGCGCCGCGATTGCAACAAACGCGGTAAAGAGTGTCGGCTGCACGTTAGGATACGGTACGTGTGCCAGTTAACATTCTCGCCACACGCCCCCGTCTCACTCTCTCACGTGTCCCGCAGATGGTCAGTTTGTTCGCGAAATCCGGGTTGAATCCAATTGAATCAATAAAGATCCCGAAGCCAGCGTTTTATAATTTCCAGGATTAGTAACATCTCGCAAGAGAGTTTCTCTCCTACCAACTCCGCATCTGTCTTTCTTTCATTACATGCCAGTTGTGCTGACTGCTACTGATAAATCGCGACCGATCTCCTCGAATCATCAACCATTTCAGCATCAAAAGGCCCGCTCACACGCTCAACCGCTGAGTTCCCGATTGCCAGTTCTTGAAAGGTCGCCTTCTTCGAATTCTCAAAAGTGAATCGTCGCCATACTCTACTAGAGCTTACTTTTCGAACTCGAGCCGCCTCCACCTGCTACTCCACCTGCTACGCGTCGCCCGAAGCCAAATTTATGGCTGACGATAGTAGCACAGTCGTGGTCAACTGGGACGGCGCCACCACCCCCGCCACCGCCAGAGGGACGACGTCGGAATCTCTCGTCCATTGCACGTCGGACTCTCTCGCTGCCGCGCTCTTCGCATTGGACGACCTCCCTTCGCCTCTCGCGCCGCCGCCGCACACCACGCTCTCGCTCCCGCTCCCGCCGGCCTCGCAGCGTTGGATCCCAGAGCATCTTAGAGGACGGCCGTCGCGGCGTGTCTGGCCGCCCAGCTGCCCTCGCTTTCACGAGAGAGACTCGTTGCGCGTCAACCAACCGGCATCTGTCGATCTGCAAGTACAGCCGCCTCCCCTGGAGCCCAAGGTTGAAGAGGCTTCGGATCACCCGCACCCGTTGCTGACTTGCGTGGGCGGGCCGCAGGGAGGACCCGCGCCCATGGGGATGCATGTGGGGATCCCTCGGAGTGGAGGGGGCGCGGGGGAGGAGTTGCGAGACTCGAATAAGCCTGCAGGGGCTGTTGATGCTGCTGCTGATGCTGCTGGTGCTGCGATGCAAGAGGCGAGCGGCGAGGTACAGATACAGCGCATGCTGGCTGGGCTGTCGCACCTCGCACGCTTCCTGCGACTGGAGCATGCACAGCAGGAGGAGGCGGAGGCAGAGGCAGAGGCAGAGGCAGAGGCAGAGGAAGAGGCAGAGGGAGAGGGAAAAGCAGCGACAGAGAGAGGGGAAGCAGTGTTGTCAGGCCGAGTGATGGCGAGGCTGCAGATGGGGAGAGGCAGCGAGGACGAGAGGCAGCAGCTCATGGCTGTCCTGCTGGCGCTCAAGCAGCAGGAGGAGCAACAGCTTCCGCCGCAAAAGCAAAACCCTAAACAGCAGCAGAAGAAGGATCTGAAGCCGACGGAGAAGCAGAGCGTATGCAAGCGGCAGAAGGGGCAGAGGGCGGTGAGTCAAGAGCAGCCAGGGGTCCCCCAGGCGCCACACGTGCAAGAGCAGCAGGAGCAGCAGGAGCAGCAAAAGCAGGAGCAGCAGGAGCAGCAACGGCAAGAGCAGCAGCAGCAGGAGGAAGGAGGAAAAGAGGAGGCTTGGCTGTCAGCCTTCTCGGCTCTTCCAGAGGCCGGAGCATCAGCGAAGCAAGTGGAGACCGCCCTTGCTGCTACATTTGCTCCTAGATACGGCCTAGATGGCGCTCTGCGTGGTGCTAGTCGGTTGGAGCGCACGGGAGGGCGACATATGGAGAGGAGCAGCGGCCGTGGTGGCAGTGACCCTGAGTTTGTTCTGCGTGGCAGTGGCACCACCCCCAGCAGTGTCATGAGCAATGGGATCCACAATAGCAATGTGATGGTGGGAGCGCGTGGCACCACCAACAGTAGCCTTTTCAGCAGCACTGGCACCAACTCAGCGAGCGATGCTGGGAAGAAGAGGAAAAGCCCAGAGCACCCGACTGGTTGCGCTACAGCCGCTCACACGCAGCAGCACGCCAGGCAGACCCCAAGTGCGTGCTACAGCCGGAGCGCATTCGGGCCGGACCGTGCCTCGTTTGTTCAGTCGAACCCAGAGGGACCCCCTGCCATAGGGGCGTCTATCCTGCACCCTGCCATGGTTGTTAACGTTAACCCCCATATCCCGGTGCCAGATGTGAGGGTCCACCAGAGTGGTGTGCTGGAAGGCATTTGCACAAGGGAAGACGACGTGACTTTAGAGTTTACCCAAAAATCGCCTCGGGATGAGCGTGCGGGGTGAGGTATGAGAGCGGGACCAACGGCCATGCATGCGACGTGCACGACGAGTGCCGCCCGGACGATGCTTTGGATGATCCCAAGGGCCACGACCATGGAAACATGCAAGACGAGTGTGGCATAGATGACGAGTGGTTGCCTCGGTGCCAGGGCGGCGTCAGGGCAGGTTCGGCGCCGAACCAGAGGATTAAGAGCCGGAGCATGGCGGAGCGGCGGAGGAGGGAGAGGATTAGTGAGGGGCTGCAGAGGCTGCGGGTGAAGGTGCGGGGGCAAGGGGACACATGCGCGATGCTGGACAGAGCTGTAGGGTATGTAGATACTTTGGAGCGACGGGTAATTGAGTTAGAGAGGGTTACCGGTATCATAACGGCTGCTGGGTCTGGGAGGATCTTTTTCCCCAGTCGTGCATTTGCCGGTGTTGGTTTTGCCGGGAATGCTTTTGCTAATAATGCTGCAGCGCTGAGGGCGATACCAGCTGCACTGGCATCGGTCCCGACTGGCCTCGGGAGTGACGGTGTTGCTGGCTGGCCTTGGGAGTGAGTGAAGCATGGCTGGTCAGTGGACGGGGCTTTGGCCTACTGTATGCTGGTGGAGGTTCAACGAATTAAGCATGTGGATCAGATTCTTGGTTCTAGTACCATATCCGTGGTGGAAGGAACCGCAGGATTTGTTTGGTCAGATTCTTTGGAGCTTTCCTGCAACTGCTTTTGTGAGCAGGGTCTATTCTATCAGATGTATGGTGTAAGATTTTTTATGTTTAGACAAAACCAAATCGTATGATAAGGATGTAAGCTCAGTTACTCGAAGAACCTTTTTGATCTATACAGTTCACACAGAATGAATCAAGCTTATAGGCATGCATCAAGTTCCCTACGACGCAGATTGGCTTGGGTTCAGGAACCACTTGCCGTTCGATCAAGTTGATCGTGAGGTGATGTTTAGACGAACCGACTTACCACCATCACTGTCACGGCTGTCAGGTGCCATCACTCAATTGGGCGGCTCGCGCGCAAAGACGCCAAAACCCGCTCCGCTGAAACTCGGCTGTTTTCAGTAACTGTTAACGAGAGCTTAGTCCTTTTCGCCGGGAGATGGTTTTCCAGTAGCGAACGGGTAATAATTTCGTCGAGATCCACCTCGTGAAACTGACAACGAGAATGTTCCGCCTGTTTGGCAATCCACGAGCAGCGGAAGGGATTGTTTGCTCATTCCGCCTTCCTGGCCTTCACACATCCACCCCCCAGGCATCCTCTTCTCCCTCCTCACCTAGCAATTGCCTCAGTCACCATGCTATCCTAGTGACTAGTCTGGTTCTTCCCTGAATGTCCGAGTCCATGGTAGCTTAGGAATTCTCCGCTCTTAGGCTCTGCTCGTTTTCATGGCAGCTTCTTATATTCATGGTGTCCTTGGATCCACGGCTCATCAAGTACCTCAGCTTTAGCAGCCACTACTACGTACCGCTATGTTGTTAACAGCAGATTGATCAGCACGTTTCGAGTTGGTAGGAGTTCCCATGGCTCGACAATGCTTGCCACCTCTCGTGTAGCTGAACTCAAAAGACTTTACCATCCGTTAACCACCAGATAGTTTGTTTCCCGTGACCATTCATCGCTATTAGTATCTGAGGTGTTGTTTTTCTTAAGTTCTCGGGAAACGGATGATTCTGCTACTTCACAATGGCGGTGGCTGTGGCGACGGCGCATAGATCGTCGACAGAGCTGGACGTTAGTTATGCTTGTCGTTGACGGGGTGTGTACGACGGTGACGATCGATTAGGAGAGTCATCCAACGGTTTGTCCGATAAAAAGCTATTCTTGACGGCAAAAGCGACATGACAAACGCGATCAGTATTCTATACTCTGAGGCGTAACGAACCTGATGGCGAAGCAGTTAGACCTCCACGACCACTGTTACCTGGGAGAAGCGACGGTAGCAGTTTCAAGAATAGCAGTACTTCATACTCCATTACGCTTCCGTGACGCTCGCCTTCGTGATGTCGTCGCATTCAGCTGAATCGCGTCCCGCTCAAGGCAAGAGATGTCGTGTTCTGTCAAATCGCGTCCTGCACACGGGAGTCGTCGCATCTTGATACTCGCCGTCTGGAGTCGTCGCATCTTGGTCGTCGCCGTCTGGAGTCGTCGAATCTTGGTCGTCGCCGTCTGGAGTCGTCGCATCTTGGTCATCGCCGTCTGGAGCAGTGGAGGAGCGTGGTGGTGATCGGCGGGTTCGAGATTGTCAGATGCACGCGATCATTCCATCGGCTGTCGCTTTCGTGACGTGGTGAATCGCGCACTGCTCACGGACGCGGGACGTCGCATTTTGGTGAATCGCGGGCTGCTCACGACGCGCGACGTCGCAGCCTGGTGAATCGCGTGCTGCTCTTACGACGCGAGACGTCGCATCCCGGTGAATCGCATGCTTCTCACAACGTGAGGCGTCGCATCTTGGTGAATTGCCGTGCTGCTCAAGACGCGAGACGTCGCATCTTGGTGAAACGTGCTGCTCAAGACGCGAGACGTCGCATCTTGGTGAAGCGTGCTGCTCAAGACGCGAGACGACGTCGCATCTTGGTGAAGCGTGCTGCTCAAGACGCGAGACGTCGCATCTTGCGTGCTGTCACGGACGAGAGTGGTCGCGCTCGCCGGCGTCGACATCAGCTCTCAAGCGTCAACGATTACGATTCGACTGCAACAATGGTTCAGTTGTAAGGCAAACGACAAGGCGATTGAGATTCGACTGACGGCAAACGACAAGGCGATTCGGGCAGCTTGAGAACTCCTTTCGCGAACGGCGAAGAGCGGGAACTGCGACGGTGAAGGAGCACGAGTCTGAGGCGTCGGGCGATAAACTCTGAGCAGCGACGACGATTGACGGACGACAAGCAACGTTTGAGAGACGGATGGCGATTGACGGACGACGAGCAGCGAACGACGAGTGCAGCGTCTGCCATAGCGACCGAGCGACGAGCGAGCAACGACGCTCGGCGCCCGAGCGAACAGCGAGCACCAACGCACGACGAACTGCGAACGAAGAACGGCGAGCGACGCGCCTCAGTGACGAGCGACGGACGAGAGCGTCTATGGCGAAGCGAAGCCTTTCGCCCGCAGCTACTCTCTGATAAGTGCACCTATTCCCTTTTCCTGGTATTGCTTTGACGCACTTTTGATAAGCGAAATCGGAGTGCGTTAGGAGTGTGAGGGCGTGTGGCGATGGTGGGCCGTAGCACAAGGCAGCTGAGCGCATGTAGGTAGAGTTGTAGGGGGTTAGAATGCATTCATCCTCATGCCCGCGTCCCCCTCTACCCCAGTCCCCCCTTGCAAGCTCGCTCGCTGCCAAACTGCCACAGGCTGCCATGGCCACACTCCCTTCGCCTCCCACGCTCCTCCCAGCCCCTCCTTGTCGTTCTGCCATGTGATCGTTTTCTCTCAATTCCTCTCACCTCTTAGTACTTCGCTTCTAGGGCTTGCTGCTTGCTTGCTCCAGGTTTTGTTGCATGCCTCGTTTTCCCCCTGTCCAAGCAGCCAACAACGAGTGACGGATGGAGAGTGACGGGCCTCGGCCATATTGACCGAGCGACCCGCGAGCAACAATGCACGGCAAACGAGCGAGCAGAGAGCAACGACGCGCACAGAACAAGCGATCCACGAGCAACGACGCGCGTCGAACGGCGGGCGGCGGATTGCGAGTGACGCGCCTCAGTGACGGGCGACGGACGAGAGAGTTGGAGGTGAAGCTATGCCGTTCAGCCAGAGCGTTCAGCCACAGCCACTTCTGGTCAAGTGCTCTCAACTCCACTCCCGTCTCTCTCTTGTCTCCCTTTTATTTTCATATCACCCAATACAACTCCAAGCTTTCGTAGAAGGGGTACGAGTGTGCATGTGAGGGCGTGTGGCGATGGTGGGCCGCGGCACAAGGCAGCTGAGTGCATGTAGAGTCGTAGGTGGTTAGAAAGCATTCATCCTCATGACAATGGTGGCAGTGACACCCTAGCAGCAGGGAATGATCAGCCCTAAAACCCCCTTCAATCCAACTCCACCCCCCTAACTCTGAGTGCTAGCCCTAGTGGCGAATCTTGTCGCATCATCCCTAGTACTAACCCTAGTGACAATGTTGCCTCATCCCTAGTGCTGGCCCTAGTGGCAATCCTTGTGGCTTCATCCCTCGACAACATAAACAACTCTACATATTTCATGCCCATGCGCTCCGGTCTGTTAAGTGCTGCCCTTACCTCTCTCACTACCCTACCCTCTCCCCCCTCATCTCTGGGTGCTAGCTCTAGTGGCAATCCTCGTCGCCTCATCCCTCGACGACAAATAAAGCTCGATATATCTCGTCCCCATGCGCTCGCGGTCCTTCCCCATGGCTGCCCTCGCCTCGTCTGTGGAACCAAACTCCACAAAGGCCTCTCCAGTGAGACGGCCGATGGAGTTGGTGATGATGTGCACTGCTGCGTCTGCCAGGGGGTACTCGCCAAAAAACTCGAGAATGTCCTGATGGGTGTGCAGGGAGAAGATGGAAGTTAGTCATAGGGTATGGATTGAGGATGGAGTTGGTGATGATGTGCACTGCTGCGTCTGCCAGGGGGCCCTGATGGGTGTGCAGGGGGGAGAAGGCAGGGGGCAGAGGCGAATTGGCCATGGAAAGAGAAGAGCGTTGGTGATAATGTGCACTGCTGCGTCTGCCTGGGGGTACTCTTCCAAAAAACTCACTGCGCCCCACTGCAACCCACTGCACCCCACCGCACCCCACTGCGCCTCACTTCACCAAAAGCCACGTGGTCTTACCTTACTAGTGGCATAGAACGGCAGACACCTCATCTTCACAATATTCGACTTCCGCGCCGCTGGGCCTATCCCCCCCTCGCCCCTCGCCCTCCACTCCCCCCATGCCGTCTCACCTTACTAGTGGCAGAGAACGGCAGGCCCCTCATCTTCACAATATTCGACTCCCGTGCCGCTGGGCCTATCCCCCCTTCGCCTCCGCGCCCTCCCCCCCCTCCTCCGCCTCCCCCATACGCCGCATGTGCATGTGCATGCCCGCCCATGCCCTCGCCCCCATACCCACGCTCCCCACGCCCCCCTTTGTCTTCTGCAAAGGAGAGAGACACACAGGGGGAAGGGAGAGAAGGGAGACCAGGAGGAGAACTGAGGCGCCTACAGGATAAAAAACCATTGATGTGCTTTCAAAAATAGGGAGAAGGGCGCGTCGGGAAGGGGGGGGGAGAAGCATATACTCTTTTGACTTATCAAAACTGTGAAGCATAGACGTCTTTGACTTATCAAAACTGAGAAGCATAGACGCCTTTGACTTGGAGGCAAAACTGAGAACGAATGAGAAAGAGTACATGGAGGAAACCAGTGCAATCACCTATCCTATTTCAAATTGCACCTTGCCCACGCCATGACCCAACTTACTATCCCCTTGCCCAGGCCACACATCTCGCCCTCCTTTCCCCTCCCCATGACGCACGCACCCTGCCCTGCCCTCCCCGTGACCCACCCTGCCCTCCGCCGTGGTAGGTCCCCCCATCCTGCACCACCCTCATTGGCGATGGCGTTGTAGTACTCCGCCTTCACGCTTGCCATTGATGCCCCTTGCCATCCCTTTCCCCACTCACCCACCTTGCCCAGCCCACCCACCTTGCCCTCCGCCGTGGTACGTCCCCCCGTCCTGCGCCACCTCATTGGCAATCGCGTTGTAGTACTCCGCCATTGCTGCCCCTTTCCATCCCCTTCCCCACTCACCCACCTTGCCCAGCCCACCCGCCCTTGCCAGCCCTGCTCCCAGCCCACCCACCTTGCCCTCCGCCGTGGTATGTGCCCCCATCCTGCGCCACCTTGCCCAGCCCACCCACCTTTCCCTCCTCCCCGCATCACCCACCTTGCCCTCCGCCGTGGTAGGTGCCTCCATCCTGCGCCACCTCATTGGCGATCACATTGTAGTACTCCGCCTTCTTCGCGCCCCTTGCTGCAACTGTCTATCCCATTTCCCCAGGCCACCCACCTTGCCCTCCGCCATGGTACGTCCCACCGTCCTGCGCCACCTCATTGGCGATGGCATTGTAGTACTCCGCCTTCTTGGCGCGGAACACCTCTATGTACCGCCGCCCCATGTGCATCTTGTTGCGCTGTAGGGGGGGAATGAAAGGGGCGAGGGAAGAGGGGGCGGCGGGGGGGGGGGGGGGGGCAGTGCGGAGCGACAGGGAGGACGGAAGGGGAAAGAGGGAGGATTGAGACCTTGTTGGCGCAAGACACCTCATGTGCATCTTGTTGCGCTGCAGAGGAGGCGGGTTGCGGGGAAGGTGGGGATTGGGGCAGGGCGGAGGGGAGGGGCGGAAAGGGAGGTAGAGGGGAGGTAGAGGGGATGGTGGGTCATTGTTGGCGTAGAACACCTCGATGCACCGCCGCCCCATGTGCATCTTGTTGCGCTGGAAGAGGGGAAGGGGGGAAGAGGGAAAGGGGGGTAACAACGGCGGAGGGCAGGGATGGAAAGGGAGGTAGAGGGGAGGTTGGGTCCTTGGCGCGGAACACCTCGATGTACCGCCGCCCCATGTGCATCTTGTTGCGCTGTAGGAGGGAAAGGGGGAAGAGGGGTAACAAGGGCGCACGGCAGGGGCCGAAGGGGGGAGGTAAAGGAGAGATTGGGTCCTTGATGTACCTCCGCCCCATGTGCATCGTTTTGCGCTGAACGGGGGAAAGGGGGAGGAAGGGGGGCGGAAGGGGGGCGGAAGAGGGAAGGGGTGGTCCTTGCACACAAAGAGCACGACCAGAGCGATCATTCCCCCTCAAGCCCCCACTCCCACACCCATCACCACACCCGCCCTCCCCCCCAAATCCCCTCTCCTCCCTCTCCCCCCCCCACCCCCAACCCCTCGGCTACCCACACACCTGCAGCGCAAGCTCGGAGTGGAGAGTGGAAGCGAAGAGCACGAAGGCCTCGCCCACAAGCCGCATTTCCTTGCGCACGAACAAAACGTCCACGATCTCTAGCCCCGCAAAGAAGTCCGCCACGTCCCCCTCCTCCACGCGGAACGGCAGCCCGCGCAGCTTCACCACCGGGATCTGCCGCGCACCTGCGCGCCCGCCCATCATCCCCGCGCCCCCCCCCATCCCCGCCCCCGGACCCCCGCCCATCATCCCCATCCCGCCCGCGCCCAACATCGCCCCCCCTGGGCCCCCCATCCCGCCCATTCCCCCCATCCCCGCCATTCCGCCCATGCCTCCCATCCCCGGCATGCCCCCCATCCCCGCCATTCCTTGCATTCCCCCCATCCCCCCCATTGCGCCCATCCCCCCCATTCCGCCCATCCCCGCCATCATCATCAGATTCATGTTGGCGAGCGCGGCCGCGTCCGCTACGCCCATTCCGCCCATGCCCTGCGCGCCCGGGGGTGCTGCGCCCGCAGGGAAACCCGAACCCGCGCCAGCGCCGCCAGCGGGAATCGAACCCACGCCACCAACGCCTGGGGGACCACCCGCGCCAGCCGCACCGCCCCCAGGAGCACCCGCACCAGCACCACCCGGACCGAAACCGCCCGAACCACCACCACCACCTCCCGGAGCCGCGGCACCACCCAAACCTCCCCCGTAGCCGGTCATGCCTCCTGAACCAGCACCCACACCTCCTGGCATATTGCCGAACCTGCTTGCCCAACCCAAACCCCCATGGTCAGTTCACCCAAAGCGAGTCTATTTGAGACAAGAATGGTCTTAACTTCAGCGGTCTAAACACCCAAGGTGATGACAGATGGACGGAAAGTGAAATGCGGAGGACAGCGAGGTGGGTAATACGCGAAAGAGTTGTGCTATCCGATTAATGTAAGGTGGGTAATAATCAGTTGCGATCTGCAATTCCTTGAAAATCGCTCCAACAGAAACGCGGATACGATCTAAAAAGGGCACCTCCCCATTCCCCATTCCCCTTCCCCTTTCTCTCGACGTCCCATTTCCCTTCCCTTCCATTTCCCCGTCCCTTGCTTCCCTTGGTCCAACCAGCCCTCAACCTTAACCCCCAACCCGGCCCCCAAAAGAACCGAGTCCGGCAAGGGAAGATCCCGGGAATCCAAGAGCCTTATTGAATGTCATAAAGCGGTCGGGCATACATTGGCAGAAAAAAGGAAAAAAAAAGACCGCGGATCAATAAGCAGCAACAATATATAGAAGGACGACGATCTCCTACCCTTGTTGGGAGTACATGTCGTCTGGTTTTCGCCGGCCGTGAAAAGCGCGAAAAGAACCTTGACAATTCTCTGATCACCTCTCCGCGATGTGTGTTCTCGGGTTTAGGCTTTGACAGGAGAGATCAAGTTGCAAAAACGAGCAAACTGGGACAAGGAAAGAGAGGGAAGAAGCAGGGGCAGCTGCACAATCGTGAAGGGTCTGACCAGAGAGCTGGCGAACATCGTGTGGTTGTGGGTGGAGAATCAGCGAAGTGTGATGTGATGACTGTTACGCGGTCCAAGTGTTTGAGGCACAGTAAGCAGGGCGATTTCGCCACAACGAAAAAAAGGATTGGCGAGAGGGTTAGCGAAAATCTGAAGCGGGGGTGCCTCGAGGGAACGAGGGTTGGGGGGTCACAAAACGGGAAAAGCTCCCGTCATCAACTAACACAGACAGACTAGCATTTGAATCAGAGACTTTGCTTAAAGCCGGCGGCCCAAATTGTTCATGCTTTTAAAAGTTGACCAGAGGGAGTTTTTCTGGTGTGGGCTTTGGCGAGAGTTTCCGATTTCGTCTAGGTTCGTTTTTTTCGCGAGACACAGCCAACCCTCGGTTTTCCCCCTGGTGAGTGAATCTGTCTTCGAAAGTCCCAAATTGCAAGTGCGTGACTTTCAAAAGCTTGGACACTCAACTCCGTCAAGTTTTAAAAACTTGACCCTCGCGGCCTGCAATTTGGGACGCGGGCTTTAAAACCCGAAGCCAGAATTACAAAAACTGAGTCAACGCTTGGTTTGGTAGGTTTGGGGTTCGGGCAATATGAGGTGCGGCAGAATTGCGAAAGCAAAAAAGTTAGCGAAACATGATGCGACTCTCCCGTGAGTCAACGAGGCGTTATCAGCCAACGCAACCCAACAGTTCGCATACATTCTGCTTACAACCCCAGAGAGCTAGAGCAGGGTAAAAACCTGTGCGACAGAACAAGCGAACAACTCAGACAAGCTTTTTAGGATCCAAGCATCGCGCTCACCAGCCAGGCATATCAAGTGAACACAATTTAGGGACGATCGAATAGAAGATGAAGCGCGGTCATGCAATCGAAGTGAATCGTAGGCGCTGGCTGCGAGTGTGACGCACGTAGAAACGAGATGGCACGGGAGATATTAGCGATTTGCCCACCTCGCTTCCCCCGCCCGTCGCCCTCGCTCTTCCCGCGCACCACCTCCTCCCCGCCCGTCGCCTCGCCTCCTCCCTGCCCGTCGCCTTTGCTTCCTCCGCCCGCCCTCGCTTCTCCCCTCCCGTTGCCCTCGCTTCCCATACCCGCCGCCCTCGCTTCCCCCGCCCGTCGCGTACCGCATCTTCCCCGCCTACCACCCTCGCCTCGCGGGTCGCCATCGCCGCCTCCCCCTCCCGTCGACCTCGCTTTCCCCCTCCCGTCGACCTCGCTTTCCCCCTCCCGTCCACCTCGCTTTCCCCCTCCCGTCGACCTCGCTTTCCCCCTTCCGTCGGCCTCGCTTTCCCCCTCCCGTCGCCCTCGCTTTCCCCCTCCCGTCGCCCTCGTTTTCCCTCCCCATCGCTCGCCGAGTCGACCTCTCCTCTCCCACCTGTCGCTGCGTCAACATTGTTCTCATTCCCGCCGCTGACGTCTTCGTCGAGCGTCCCCTCTTCTTCGCCCTCGCTTCCTTCCTCCGTCGCCCATGCCCATTCCCCTCCCTCGCGCCGACGCCCTGGTTTCCCGCCCCGCCGCCTTCTCTACCCTTCCCAGTGCCCTGGTTTACCACCTCTTTTTTTCCCCACCCAAAGCTTCACTCTCACCCACGTACACTCATGCGAAACAATTACTCCCCTTCCTCCCTTCACTCTGTTCCCCCCTGTTCACTCCCTCCCCCCCCCCTGATCACTCTCTTCCCCCTTGCTCATTCTGTTTCCCCCTTGCTCATTCTGTTTCCCCCTTGCTCATTCTGTTTCCCCCTGCTCACCCTCTTCCCCCCAGTTCGTGGTGTTCCCCCCTGTTCACTCCCTTTCCCCATGCCCACCCTCATCCCCTTGCTCACTCCGCGCTCGCCTGCGGGCCTCATCACGACGTCCGCCCGCCCTCTCACACTCGCCACGCCTCCCCACGCACCCTTCCTCATAAGCCCCTGCTTTCCATTCCCACTCTCAACCCTCATCGCCTCTTTTCCCCTCGAACAACTTCATTTCCCTTTCCCTACCTTTGAACTTCCATGGTATTTTTTCTCACGCCTTCCCTGCAATTCCTCCCCTTCTAACCCAATCCTCCTCCGCCACTCCTCGCCTCTCTCACACTCCTCGCCTCTCTCACACTCCTCGCCTCTCTCACACTCCTCGCCACTCTCACACTCCTCGCCTCTCTCACACTCCCCGCCTCTCTCACACTCCTCGCCTCTCTCACACTCCTCCTCGCCTCTCTCACACTCCCCGCCTCTCTCACACTCCTCGCCTCTCTCACACTCCTCGCCTCTCTCACACCCTCGACGTGCGCAAGGCGCATGCCATCAGCGCACGCCAGGCAGCGGCCAGCGTGGTGGCGCTGTTCGGCGAGTGCAGCACGGACAGGGCTGCTCTCACTATGTTTCTCCCTGCTCGCTCCCTTCCCGCTCCTCACTCTGTTTCCCCCTTGCTCGCTCTGTTTCCTCTCTTCCCCCCTGTTTTTTCTATTCCCCCCTGCTCACTCTCTTCCTCCACTGCTCATTCTCTTCCCCTTGCTGCTCGTTCTGTTTTCCCCTGCTCGCTCTCTTCCCCTTGCTCACTATGTTTCTCCCTGCTCACTATCTTCCCACCTGCTCACTCCCTTTCAACATGTTCTCTCTCTTTCCCCCTGCTCAATTATTTTACCTCTGCTCACTGTCTCCCCTGCACTCTGTTTTTCCCTGCTCATTCTGTTCTTTCCTGCTCACTCCCCTATTCAACCCTTTACCCATGCAGTGTGTCGGTGCCCAGCACCAGCTGTTGGGAGGGAACCACAAGTCCTGGTTTTTTGCTGCTGTATGTGCAGACAAGAGTTGGACAAGACACCACATGGACTAGCTTGTTCTTTTTTACTAGATTGATGCACATTGTAAGTGGTCTACAGTCTCATACCTCTGGATCAAAATTTAGTATATAATACTAAATATCCAACATTGGCATGTCTATTTGTCATACCTAGTAGTAGTACTACCAACAACCAACATTCCTGAACCAAATGCATAGGGGGGGGGGGGGGGGGGGGGACCTGTACAAACCCAGTTGTGAAAATCAGATGCTCGTGGCTGAAGCAGAACGCATACAAAAGGGTGGGCACTGACACTGACAAACCGGCACCTGCGAAGAGGAAGAAATAAAGAGACACTCACGGATTATTATTATGGTAGGAGACAAACGAGAGGCAGAGATGGGTTGGGGTGGAGATGGGTGGGGCAGAGATGGGTGGGGCGGAATGGGGTGATTTTGAAGGGTGGGGCGGAATGGGGTGACCTTGAGATGGGGTGGGGCGGAATGGGGTGGGGCGAAGATGGGGGAGAGCGGCGTGGGGTGGGGCGGAGATGGGGGAGAGCGGAGTGGGGTGGGGCGGAGATGGGGGAGAGCGTAGTGGGGTGGGGCGGAGATGGGGGAGAGCGTAGTGGGGTGGGGCGGAGATGGGGGAGAGCGTAGTGGGGTGGGGCGGAGATGGGGGAGAGCGTAGTGGGGTGGGGCGGAGATGGGGGAGAGCGGAGTGGGGTGGGGCGGAACCGCATCTCCCCTCCCCAAAAAGCTTCTTAGTGCCGAAAAGCACAACGGATGAGGGGTGAGGAGGAGATGGGGTGAGGAGGAGATGGGGGTGGGGCGGAATGGGGTGGGGCGGAATGGGGTGGGGCGGATTGGGGTGGGGCGGATTGGGGTGGGGCGGAATGGGGTGGGGCGGAATGGGGTGGGGCGGAATGGGGTGGGGCGGAATGGGGTGGGGCGGAATGGGTTGAAACGGAATGGTGAGGTGAGGGATGGAGAGGGAAGGGATGGGGAGAAGAGGGATGGGGAGAAGAGGGATGGGGAGAAGAGGGATGGGGAGAAGAGGGACGGTAAGTTGAGAGACTGGGAGGTGAGGGATGGGGAGGGAAGGGATGGAGAGGGAAGGGATGGGGAGGCGGGGATGGGGAGGTGAGGGATGGGGAGGGACGGGATGGGGAGATGAGGGATGGGGAGGGAAGGGATGGGGAGATGAGGGATAGGGAGGGAAGGGATGGGGAGATGAGGGATGGGGAGGGAAGGGATGGGGATGGAGCATAGGCGACGGAGGGGAATGAGAGAAGGCGAGGGGCAGGGGGTGAGCCTGGGCGACGGAGGGAAGTGAGCGTGTGCGGAGTACGGGCAGTGAGCGTGGGCGATGGATGGGGGGAGAGCGTGCGTGGTGGGGAGGAGTGAGCGTGGGCGACGGAGGGGACTGTCGCGACAGGAGGGAAGCGAGAGAACGTGGCGGGAGGGAGAGAGCGTGGGCGGCGGAAGGGGAGTTGTCGCGCGCAACGGGAGGGAGTGCGCGCGGACGGAGCTGGGGTGAGGAGGAGACGGGGTGAGGCGGAGATGCGGGAAGGAATAGGCCGTGGCGACGAGCGGGGGTGAGCGTGTGCGACCGAAGGATTGCGCGAAGGCGATGGAATGGGGGTGAGCGTGGGCGACGGAAGTGAATGATCGTGGGCGACGGTACGATTTCCCCCCGCGATCGCGATGGGAAGGGAGTGAGCGTGGGCGACGGGAAGGGCTTGAGCGTGGGCGACGGAAGGGAGTGCGCGCCGGCGACGAAAGGGAGTGTGCGTGACCGTTCGAGGGGAGTGCCTGTGTGCGACGGGAAGGCGTTATCATCCGCGACGGAGGGATGTTCGCGTGCGCAACAGAGGGTTTTGCGTGAAGGAGATGGGAGGGAAGGGAGCGTGCTCGTTCGAGGGAAGAAGCGTGAGGGATGGAGGGGATCGCGTGTGTGTTCCGGAAGGGGTCCGAGTGTGGACGTCGGGGAGAAGAAGCGATGCGGCGAAGCAGGTGGATGAAACCTACGCGGCGGATAGAGAGGACGTCGCGGCTATGAAGATAGGCGACATTGGTGCGGTGGGCGGTGTGGAAGTGAAACCAGGGCGACGACGGGCATATGTGCAACCATGGCCCCGGCTAGCTATGTCGAGTGGAAACGTGACCTAGAACCGCGGGGCGCTTTAGAGACGGATTGGAAGAATGAAGGCATGGTCCTAACGTCCTAAGGAGGAATTTTCCGCCATGCGCTGGAATGGGGTAGAATGCTAGATGTTCTATGCTATGGCTGTCGCTCTAGCTGCTCAGACTAGGCAGTTTCGAACGACCTGAATTACATATTTCCAGTTTGGTGTGCACACCTCAGCCCAGGAACCGAGCGACCCTTCCCTGCGCTGCCTGCGACTTCTTTCACGTTTTGCAGGTGAAAACCTGGTAACCACACTGGTTCGGGAGGGAAAGTGTTAACACCTCCCAACTTTTCTTGTAATTCAGGCTGCGGGTTTTAAAACCGGAGTCCCAAACAGGCCAAAACTGCCTCAAACTTCCTAACTTTGGTTGGGTGTGACCCAGTGGGTACTGACTCAAAATTCCTAACTTCGAAAACCTTCAGGAATTTTTTTGCCACGCGAAATTGTCAAACGATAGCAGCGACGATTTCGTGAACATTTTTCGCGCCCACCCGAAACTATTTGCGAACGAATTTTGACGTTGCATTCCAGATCTGGTTACACTCGCGAGGTTTTCATACTTTACGACCCACAACCACCGATTTCGACAACACCCTGGTTCGCGAGCCAGTCACGTTTCTTGCCCCTAGCAACCTTCCTAACTTAGAAACTCTTGGACCCCCGGTTTTAAGTTTTTCCGCGGTAGAACTAACCAAGGTGGGCAGATGGCTGCTATACCAACAGTGCGACTTCTCACATAGTCGCGCTTGAGTAACTACACATGTACAGGGTAGGTTACGCTTTGAAAAACGATCATCAATCGAGCCCCCCCCCCATTTCCCACTCAATTGCCACGCCGCTTGCATTCAGACTGCCGCAGCGTGGCATTCGCCGAGCCCACCGTGGATGCGGCGCGCCCGCCGTAACCTAGATTACACTGCACCACGGCGAGTTGCATTCGGCGGGATCGCCGCAATGCAACCGTTGCATTCAAAATTCTTTAGCCCGCTGTTCAGCTCTCAATTGGTAAGGCAGCCGTCTGCCCACCTTTCCTGCCCCGCCGCGTTGCCCTCGGCAGGCTCAACACGTCCCATCCGTTGCCCTCGGCAGGCTCAACACGTCCCATCCGTTGCCCTCGGCAGGCTCAACACGTCCCATCCGTTGGCCAGGCCGGCGGGCTTAGCGCGTCACCCGCTGCTCACCTCACCCGCTTAGCGCGTCACCCGCTGCTCGCCTCACCCCCTGCCATCCGCTTGTTTCCCCCCTGCTTGCCCTCTTATCGCAAGCTTGATCACGGATTCCTTCCTCTTATCGCAAGCTTGATCACGGATTCCTTCCTCTTTCAGGCCCAGGAAAATAGAGGGAAGGCCAACTATCCAATGAACTTGCCTATTCCTCCGGCCCCTCCTTGCCCACGGATTCCTCCTTTCTGCCCTTGCTTCCCCTCCTTTCCCCCCCTTGCTTCCCCTCCTTTCCCCCACTCCTTCCCCTCCTTTCCCCCCCTTGCTTCCCCTCCTTTCCCCCACTCCTTCCCCATCCTTTCCCCCACTGCATCCCTCCTCCCCCCCCCCGTGCTTCCCCTGCTTTCCCGCACTGCTTCCCCTCCTTTCCTCCCCTCCTTCCCCCCGTTTCCCCCACTGCCTCCACACCTTTCCTCCACTGCTACACCTGCTTTCCCCCGCTGCTTCCCCTCCTTTCCCCCACTGCTTCCCCTCCTTTCCCCTGCTGCTTCCCCACCTTTCCCCCACTGCTTCGCCTCCTTTACCCCACTCCTTCCCCTCCTTTCCCCCCCTTGCTTCCCCTCCTTTCCCCCACTCCTTCCCCATCCTTTCCCCCACTGCATCCCTCCTTCCCCCCCCCGTGCTTCCCCTGCTTTCCCGCACTGCTTCCCCTCCTTTCCTCCCCTCCTTCCCCCCGTTTCCCCCCCTGCCTCCACACCACTGCCTCCACTGCTACACCTTTCCCTCCAAACGTTGTTGAACAAAACACTGGCCAGACACCCAGTGCAAAACCATGAATAACTATGCTTTCGAAGTTTGCGTGCATACAACCGTCTCGACTCAATCAAAACACAATCTTTGTGTATAAAATATGCCATCCCACAGGTACAAAGCTCAATCAGCGTGGTGCTGGCCAGGTGAATACAAAGCCACTCCTTGTGTGTAACAGCTAAGATGTATTTTTCCCCTTTTTGGAGAATATGCGGTCTAGGTCCTCAGTTGCCACATTGGAGCTGTCGGACGCACAGGGGAGTGATGGCAGGGGGAGATGAGGTCATTAGAGGACTTGAGAAAAGAGGGTGTGTGATGCGTGGGAAGGGAGGAGTATGATGGATGGGAGGGGAGGAGTGTGATGGATGGGAGGGGAGGAGTGTGATGCATGGGAGGGGAGGAGTGTGATGCATGGAAGGGGAGGAGTGTGATGCATGGAAGGGGAGGAGTGCGATGCATGGGAGGGGAGGAGTGTGATGCATGGGAGGGGAGGAGTGTGATGCATGGGAGGGGAGGAGTGTGATGCATGGGAGGGGAGGAGTGTGATGCATGGGAGGGGAGGAGTGTGATGCATGGGAGGGGAGGAGTGTGATGCATGGGAGGGGAGGAGTGTGATGCATGGGAGGGGAGGAGTGTGATGCATGGGAGGGGAGGAGTGTGATGCATGGGAGGGGAGGCTTGCGATGCACAGCACGATGATCGTAAAAGTCTGAGGGAAAAATTGTGTAGCTGTATCACGAAAAGGCCGGAACCACAAGATAAAAAAATGCGCAGTGCAAGTTTGATAAAGCCAGGAGCGAATAGGAGAGAAACACAAGTGGAGGAGCGGTAATTCCACTCGGAGGCACTAACCGGCCTCGGAGTTGAGGCGGCAGAAAGGAATTCGCAGCCCCCGCTGCTGCACCCGACCCTCCTCCTCTTCCATCTGCTCCTGCTCTGCCTATTCCTCCTCTTATAGAACCACTTCCTCCAGCCAGACCTGCTCCCGAGCCTCCCTTCAGAACCTTTGATGGAGGCTTGGGCAAGAGCATGTTAGGGTTGGGCTCAGCACGCTTTCTGGAACCTTCAATTGGGATTTCTCCCTGTCCTTGCAATCTCCCACTCGGACCCCCTCTCCCGGCTGTTCCAACAGCGAAGCTAAGAGTATCGGGGGAATCTCCTAAGAGATCCGCAGCGCTCGGTAAAATCACACGGGACGGCTGGTTGGCTGGCAGCTGCTGTATCGGCGGCTTGGGGGGCGTTCTCAACGAGGGCTTGACGACGCGTTGCGACGAAGCCTTCCCCTGGCCTGATGCGTTAGAAAGTGCTGATTTTTCAGGAGATAAAAGCTGGCGAGAGTCCGGATGACCCACAGAAGCTTTCGCGGAACATCCAAATTCAGCAGCACCAGAGCCCTCTGCTTCGGCGCACTTCGGCGGACCGGCCTGAGCCAGTTCTTTCGATGGTTCCTGCGCACCGAGCTCCCCGTGATCAGAGTCATCCGAATCGCAGTCATAGCCGACGAGAGACACCATTGGGATAGAGTGTGAGCTATGAGTGCGGTGCAATCTCAAAATGATTGGAACAGGCTCAGATCAGATTATGGAGGAGTAGAGACGGAAAAGCACATGGAACGATGGAACTTCATGGAGGAGAGGCAAGTGCTTGAGCAGATGTGCGAATGCCTTTTTGCGGTTGCGAAAACAGCTCTCGATTTGGAAATGGAGGAACTCGGCTTACTCCTCTCCCAAATCGTGAGCTGATCTCTCAATGCGGTTACCAATCCCTCTGATAGCAATGTTTCGCAAAGAATCTGTACTTGGGAGGTGGGTGCGTCATCTACGGTCAAGATGGTTGTAAAACGATCCAAAGCGGTGAAGTATGAAACCGTCCTCGTACGCCTTCAAGTCAGCATGCTCGCAGTCATGTCGTTTGGCACTTTCGTAACGGCATGCGAAAAAGGGCCACCCCAGCGTAACAAGCTCGTGTGCGATGAACATCTTTGCGTGCGATGTGTGCCTCTTGTGCTGAGTGCGACGCATTTTCTTGTATTTTCTAGGCTGTTATTTTACACCGTATTTGCTTCATTTGTCGCCTGCCTTTCTGTTCTTTCTCTTCTACCATTCGCTGCAACTTGCATCTCTTCTGCTAGCATTCTAGGGTTAGCGCAAGTTGTTGTTGGCAGGCAGCAAGCAGCGGCAAGTGAGTAGGCTCACGGGCAGCAACAGTATATCGTTAGGGATTTCAGGTGTTATCATTCCTCTTTTCCCAATGGCTGTTGCGTTTCGGCTCAGCACAGCAGTACTCCCCTCGCTCGCGGCACCCACAGTGTCCCCCGCCAACGCCGCAAAGCCCGCCCTTTCTTCTGCATCCCGCGTCGCCTTGCTCCCTTTTATCGCCGTCCGCTGTTCCGTTACTCCTCAGCGATCCGCCGCGTGTCGAGCATCCACTGCCGTCGACTCGGCCACGTCAACAGGAACCATGGCTGACGCGGCAGCTCCGGCGACTGACGTCAGCGCGTCCGCTGGTGACGTGGATTCGCGCAGCAGGTGCAGGATCTGCGCGGCGGTGACGGCGACAACGGTGGGGGGAATGCGGGAGCAGATGGCGCAAGCGAAAGCGGCTGGAGCGGACACGGCGGAGCTCCGCGTTGACCATTTGACCGAGTTTGACCCCAGCGTTGACCTCCCTGCGCTCCTAAACGACCGCTGTCTTCCCGTTATTGTCACATGCCGGTATGTTCCCTTATCCTGCTAAAATGCTGGCATCCTGTCTCTAGAATGCTGACAGCACGCTGCTACTGGTCCTAACACTCATACCGTTCCTGTCCCCAAGCCCAACTTTTCTTTCCAATTTCAACCTTTTAACCCCACGCCCGACGTCCTTAACCCCCCATGCAGCCCCACGTGGGAGGGTGACAAGTACGCGGACCCGGACGAGGAGAGAACAGTTTTCATACCTCTTACCCCTAGCCTGATTACCATGCAACGTCCCTATCACCCCGTGCAGCCCCACGTGGGAGGGCGGCAAGTACGCGGACCCGGACGAGGAGAGGCGCCAGCAGGTGCTGGCGATGGCCATGGACATGGGCGCTGAGTTCATTGACGTCGAGCTGCAGGTACTATAACGCGTGCAGAGTGTAGCGGCTGGGTTGTGGCTAGCAATGGTGACGAATAAAGACCTTGATTCGTTAGAGCTCACCTTAGAGTCTCGACTCTCGAGCCTCCTTCCCCTGAGCCTCACGATTCTCTCTCTCTCGCGTTGCACCCCGAACCTTCCCATCTGCCCTCCCCTCCTCCTCAGGTCGCCTCCGATTTCATCCAGAGGCACGTTGCACCCCGCCGCGCTGCCGCTGCTGCTGGTGACAGTGACGGTGTGAATGCTCCTGTCTCCCCACACACCCCTCTCTACCCCCTCCTCAGGTCGCCTCCGAGTTCATCCAGAGGCATGTTGCACCCCGCCGCGCTGCCGCTGCTGGTGCCGGTGCTGCTGGTGTGAGTGCAACGCGCGTGATCATATCGAACTACAACTACAGCATGACTCTTCACACACCTCTCTACCCCCCTTCCTCAGGTCGCCTCTGATTTCATCCAGAAGCACGTTGCGCCTCGCCGCGCCGCTGGTGACGGTGTGACAGCAACGCGTGTGATTGTATCGAGCCACAACTACAACGTGACCCCGCCGCTGGAGGAGCTGAGGGCGCTGGTGGCGCGCATAGAGGCTGCCGGGGCCGACATTGTGAAGTTCGCCACCACAGCCACGGATATCACTGATAATGCACGCGTGTTCCAGATATTGAAGGAGGCGCAGGTGGGTGCTTGGGTGGGTGCTTGGGTGGGTGCTTGGGTGGGTGGTTGGGTTTGGTGGTTTGGTGGTTGGGCGGGTGGGTGGGTTGCAGGCAGAGGCACAACTACAGGGTGAAGCCACTGCTGGGTGAAGCCACTGCTGGAAGAGCTGCGGGCGCTGGTGGCGCGCATAGAGGCTACTGGAGCCGACATTGTGAAGTTCGCCACCACGGCCACTGATATCACTGATAAAGCACGCGTGTTCAAAATACTCAAGGAGGCGCAGGTGGGCGGGTTGCTGGGTGGGTGGGTGGGTGGGAGGGAGGGAGGGTGGATGTCAGCGTGATTAGGCGATTTTGGTGGCGCACATAGAGGCTGCCGGGGCCGACATTGTGAAGTTCGCCACTACAGCCACTGATATCACTGATAATGCACGCGTGTTCCAAATACTCAAGGAGGCGCAGGTGGGCGGGTTGCTGGGTGGGTGGGGTCTTGCACAGGGGTCAAGCTCGCCAGAGGAGGTGAGAGAGGAGGTGGGTGCACGTACGGCCGTTGTGCAGCGGTGAGAAGAATGAGCAGAGAAGGTCGCGCGCACACTCCACAACCTGGAGGTTCTTCCTCACTGCCATCGCCTCTCGCCTCCCGCAGGACAACACACTTGCTGGTACCCACACACTGCCAGTCGGCACGGCATTGTGGCACTTGGTCCACGCGCGCGCCTTGGTCCACGTGCGCGCCTTGGTCCGCGCGCGCGCCTTGGTCCGTGCGCGCCCCTTGGTCCCCCCGCGCGCGCCTTGGTCCGCGCGCGCGACTTGGTCCTCGCGCTCGCGCAACTGCGCACGCGCGCGCCTTGGTCCGTGTGCGCCCCTTGGCCCCCCCGCGCGCACCCCTTGGTCCGCGCGCGCCCCTTGGTCCCCCCGCGCGCGCCTTGGTCCACGCGCGTGCCCGCCCTGGTCCACGCGCGCGCCTTGGTCCGCGCGCGCGAATTGGTCCTCGCGCTCGCGCAACTGCGCACGCGCGCGCCTTGGTCCGTGTGCGCCCCTTGGCCCCCCCGCGCGCACCCCTTGGTCCGCGCGCGCCCCTTGGTCCCCCCGCGCGCGCCTTGGTCCACGCGCGTGCCCGCCCTGGTCCACGCGCACGCCTTGGTCCACGCGCGCGCCTTGGTTCACGCCCGCGCCTTGGTCCCCCGCGCGCGCCTTGGTCCACGCGCGCGCGCCTTGGTCCACACGCGTGCCCGCCCTGGTCCACGCGCGCGCCCTGGTTCACGCGCGCGCCTTGGTCCACGCGTGCGCGCCTTGGTCCACACGCGCGCGCGCCTTGGTCCACCCGCGCGCCTTGGTCCACCCGCGCGCCTTGGTCCACCCGCGCGCCTTGGTCCACCCGCGCGCCTTGGTCCACCCGCGCGCCTTGGTCCACCCGCGCGCCTTGGTCCACCCGCGCTCCCAGGTCCGCGCGCGCGCCCTGGTCCGCGCGCTGCGCTGTCGTTGTGTGGGTGAACCCTGGTCATGGGAACCAAGGGTTATCAGCCACCTCTTTGCGCCTAAATTGTAATGACGCCTGCCCTGCATTCTCTCCCTTACTCCCCTTTTCCCCACTCCCCATCCCCTCCCCCCACTTTCTCCCAACCTCCCCTCCCCCCTCCAGCGCCCCGCCATCGCATTAGTGATGGGACCCAAGGGCCTCATCAGTCGCCTGCTCAAGGCTCACGCCCAAAGGCAATGACGTCCGTCCTGCATTGCTTGCCTTTCTCTCCCCTCTTCCCCCTCTTCCCCCCCCGGCGCCCCACCATAGCTCTGGTGATGGTTCCCACGGGCTTCATCAGTCGCCTGCTTAAGGCTCGCGCCGAAAGGGAATGACGTTTGTCCTGCATTGCTTGCCTTTCTCTCCCCTCTTCCCCCTCTACCCCCCCTCCCCCCCCCCCCCCCCCAGCGCCCCACCATAGCTCTGGTAATGGGTCCCAAGGGTCTCATCAGCCGCCTCCTCGCGCCTAAATTCAACGCCTTCCTCACATTCGGGGCGATCACCCCGGGCGCTGAGTCAGCGCCAGGTCAGCCGACGGTCGCTGAGCTGGCGGGCACGTACCGGCTGGCGGGGGTGGGCCCGGAAACGCACGTGTTTGGGCTGGTGGGGAACCCGGTGGGGCACAGCAAGGGCCCTGTGCTGCACAATGCGGCGCTGCGCCATGTGGGGTATGACGGCGTGTACGTGCCGTTCCTCGTGGACAATGTGCCGGAGTTCCTCAAGACGTTTGACAGCCCGGACTTCAAGGGGTTCAGGTGGGTTGAGAGTGGTGATAAGAAAGGTTGGCTGGCATGTGGGGTGGCGTTGTGGCACGGAGGTGGTGGTATTGGCGGCGTGTGGTGGGGTATGACGGCGTGTGATGGGGTATGACGGCGTGTGATGGGGTATGACGGCGTGTGATGGGGTATGACGGCGTGTGATGGGGTATGGCGGCGTGTGGTGGGGTATGACGGCGTGTGGTGGGGTATGACGGCGTGTGATGGGGTATGACGGCGTGTGATGGGGTATGGCGGCGTGTGGTGGGGTATGACGGCGTGTGATGGGGTATGACGGCGTGTGATGGGGTATGACGGCGTGTGATGGGGTATGACGGCGTGTGGTGGGGTATGACGGCGTGTGGTGGGGTATGACGGTGTGTGATGGGGTATGACGGCGTGTGATGGGGTATGACGGGGTGTGATGGGGTATGACGGCGTGTGATGGGGTATGACGGGGTGTGATGGGGTATGACGGCGTGTGATGGGGTATGACGGGGTGTATGTGCCGTTTCTCGTGGATGACGTACCAGAGTTCCTCAAGGCGTTTGACAACCCCGACTTCAAGGGGTTCAGGTTGGTGAAGTGCGGTGGTAAATCAGAACAGAGGTTGGTGGCATGTGGGGTATGACAGCGTGTACGTGCCATTCCTTGTGGATGGTGTGCCAGAGTTTCTCTAGGCGTTTGACAGCCCATACTTCAAGGGATTCAGGTGGGTGGAGGTGGAGGTGGAATGGACCAGGGCCTCTCATGATGTCTCTGCATTTTTCTTCCTCCCTCTTTCTCCATCCAACAGTGCCCTGTATGCGTTCCCCACTAGCTTCCCCCTTCGCTTTTCCTCCTCGTTCTCCTCACCTAACCTTCCCCCCGCTCTCCCCTCCCACCACAACACCCCCCCCCTCCTTTCTCGTGCCCACCACCCAGTGTGACCATTCCGCACAAGCTCGCGGCGTTGGAGTGCTGCCAAGATGTGGAACCTCTAGCCAAGGTGACCTTGCAGTAGTGACCTTGCTCATGTAATGTGCTCTTGCTGAGATGACCTTGTTTGGTGCTATACCATATATTTCCCTGTACTCTCACTTCACACGCACGTCACCCTGTGTCTCCGTCGCTTCTTACCACTCTGCGTTAGCTCTTATTAAGGGGAGCATGGCTCAGCGGTTGTGTGTCACGACACAATTCCATTCCAATGCTCAATGCAGTGATAGGACACACATCCCATCTCATCCACAAGACACGACTTTTGAGGCGCCTCAAAAGTCAATGCAGAGACACGTGTCAGCATCGAGTGCATGCTCCCCTCTAAATCCGTCACTCTACTACCTATTCGTATGGGGGTTCCTCCTGGCTGAGCATAGGCGTTGCAAACACCATCATTCGGGGGGAGGGCGGGCAGCTGATGGGGTACAATACAGACTGCATGGCGGCCTTAGAGGCTATAGAGGACGGGCTCAGGCAGGTGGACGGAAGCAGCTACAAGGAAGCTTCAGGCACCCCTCTCTCGCTCAGTCTCGCCCCCCTCCTTCTCTTCCCATCTCTCTCCCCCACTCTACCACCCACTCATCTGCATGCACCCCCCCATTAGAGCATAGGCGCTGCCAACACCATTATTCGGGGGGAGGGTGGGCGGCTGATGGGGTACAACACAGACTGCATGGCAGCCATAGAGGCTATATAGGACGGGCTCAGGCAGGCAGATGGAGGCAGCAGCTACACAGAAGCTGTTTCCCCTCTCATCTCAGTCTCCTCCCCCCTTCTCTTCCCATCTCCCTCCCTAATTTACCCATCAGAGCATAGGCGCTGCCAACACCATCATTCGGGGGGAGGGCGGCCGGCTGATGGGGTACAACACAGACTGCATGTCGGCCATAGAGGCCATAGAGGACGGGCTCAGGCAGGCAGAGGGAGGCAGCAGCAGCTTGGAAGCTTCCTCCTCGCCCCTCGCTGGCCGCCTCTTTGTGGTTGTCGGGGCGGGGGGTGCCGGGAGGGCTCTGGCCTTTGGAGCTAAGGAGAGGGGTGCGGATGTGATTATAGCGAATAGGAGCTATGGCAAGGCGGAGGCGCTGGCTGCGGCTGTGGGCGGCACTGCCGTGCCTCTGCCGTCCGTTTCTGGTGATGGTGATGTGGCAGCGGGCGGCGATGAGCTGGCGGCGGTGCTGCAGGAGATGCAGAGAGGGAGGAGCGGGCGTGCTGTGCTGGCAAATACGACGTCTGTGGGCATGCACCCTCACGTGGAGGATACTCCTGTGGGCAAGGTGAGTAGTTCCTGCAATTCAGTGCTGTAAGGGCTGAAGGGGTTGAGCGGTCACCTCTAACCCCATGTCTGTTGGCATGCACCCTCACGTGGAGGATACTCCTGTGGGCAAGGTGAGTAGTTCCTGCAATTCAGTGCTGTAAGGGCTGAAGGGGTTGAGCGGTCACCTCTAACCCCATGTCTGTTGGCATGCACCCTCACGTGGAGGATACTCCTGTGGGCAAGGTGAGTAGTTCCTGCAATTCAGTGCTGTAAGGGCTGAAGGGGTTGAGCGGTCACCTCTAACCCCATGTCTGTTGGCATGCACCCTCACGTGGAGGATACTCCTGTGGGCAATGTAAACAATGTGGGATTGTGCTGTTCCTGGTGGATGGGCACCATGTGCACACTTTCACAATTGTCACACTTTTACAGTACACACACTTCCACAATTGTCACACTTTTACAGTACACACACTTCCACAATTGTCACACTTTTACAGTACACACACTCTCACAATTGTCACACTTTTACAGTACACACACTCTCACAATTGTCACACTTTTACAGTACACACACTCTCACAATTGTCACACTTTTACAGTACACACACTCTCACAATTGTCACACTTTTACAGTACACACACTTTCACAATTGTCACACTTTTACAGTACACACACTTTCACAATTGTCACACTTGTACAGTACACACACTCTCACCAAAACACGCACATGTTTCCTTTCGTGTGTTCACCAACAGGCTGTGTTGCAGGAGTGCAGTCTGGTGTTTGACGCGGTGTACACCCGCATGGAAACCTGTCTGCTCAAGGAGGCGAAGCAAGCAGGAGCCTCTACAGCATCCACCAACACATGTTGGAATCCTTTCCTTTCCCATGTTCCCATACAGGCTGTGTTGCAGGAGTGCAGTCTGGTGTTTGACGCGGTGTACACCCGCATGGAAACCTGTCTGCTCAAGGAGGCGAAGCAAGCAGGAGCCTCTACAGCATCCACCAACACATGTTGGAATCCTTTCCTTTCCCATGTTCCCATACAGGCTGTGTTGCAGGAGTGCAGTCTGGTGTTTGACGCGGTGTACACCCGCATGGAAACCTGTCTGCTCAAGGAGGCGAAGCAAGCAGGAGCCTCTACAGCATCCACCAACACATGTTGGAATCCTTTCCTTTCCCATGTTCCCATACAGGCTGTGTTGCAGGAGTGCAGTCTGGTGTTTGACGCGGTGTACACCCGCATGGAAACCTGTCTGCTCAAGGAGGCGAAGCAAGCAGGAGCCTCTACAGCATCCACCAACACATGTTGGAATCCTTTCCTTTCCCATGTTCCCATACAGGCTGTGTTGCAGGAGTGCAGTCTGGTGTTTGACGCGGTGTACACCCGCATGGAAACCTGTCTGCTCAAGGAGGCGAAGCAAGCAGGAGCCTCTACAGCATCCACCAACACATGTTGGAATCCTTTCCTTTCCCATGTTCCCATACAGGCTGTGTTGCAGGAGTGCAGTCTGGTGTTTGACGCGGTGTACACCCCCATGGAGACCCGCTTGCTCAAGGAGGCCAAGCAGGCAGGAGCTGCAACAGTCAGCGGCGTGGAGATGTTTGTTGGCCAGGCGGCTCGACAATTCGAGCTCTTCACTGGAAAGCCAGGTGGGTGTACTTGTATCTGTATGGAAAATACGTTTTAGCTTATGCTAGAAGCATTTCTGTGTGTCATGCTTTATCTTTATCTTGTTTGCCTGATGAGCTTTTTTTATGTACCCACTCCCCTTATCTGTCGTACCCCCCGCCCCTCTATGTGCGTGCTTTGCAGCTCCTGTGTCGTTGATGCGTGAAGTGGTTCTCGCATCGTTATAAGTGTCACAAAGAAAGCACTAAAAAAAAGAGTATGCATTGATGAAAAAGTGGCATCAATGATGCTGCTTTTCTGCTTTACTCTCTTAGCAATGTGGTCCTAGTGGTTCCGGTATCCATCATGTAGTTCAAGATTTTGCAACTTGATCCAGTCACGAAACAGCACTATTCGCTAAGACTCTTCGTCACTGCTGTGCAATCCCGAAGGCGAAATTATGGTAACAAGTCTTTCTCAGATTCCCTGTGCCAGCATCACCAACCGAGCCTTGATGTCGCCCAGCTTCGAATTTGCCAGGGAAAGTGACTCATGGCGGGAAGGCATCATAAATGTCAGCCCAACTGCTAGACTCAATAGTTGTCGGGTCTTTTGTTCCCCGAAGACTAGGTTTCGAGCGCACGGCAGCTCACATTGTCTGCCATTACGGTCAAAACCACGCTTTTTGAAATCTCCGTCGTCTTTCTTCCCGGACCTGCAACGCTAGACTTTTCGCCAAAGTTCTGCCGATAATCCGCCACCCTCCTCTCGCTACCCTCACATCATGGAAGCGGAGGAGCCTCCGCGCGCGCGCACTCTCCGCAATGCCGCCAAGCGCTGGAGCGTGCCGGCCGTCCTGCACCCCGCGTCGGGCCGGCTCGTCCCCATGGACGACTGGGCGATATCTGCCGCCGTCTCCGCGCATAGCGACGGCGCGCCGGCCGCCGCTCATTCCGGCGCGTCTTCTGGCCACGACGATTTCTTGAAGAATTTGACGAGCCGCAGCCGGAAGTGGATTGGCGGAGCGCGCACGACCGGGAGGTCCGGGACGGCATCGTTTCGCGACGCGGATAACGCGGCGGCTGCAACGGGCGCGGCGCCGGCGGCGCCGCCGTCGCTGAATAACGTGCCGGATCCGGTGCTGCTTAAGATTCTGATGCGCGTGGAATCGCCACGAGACCGGGCGGCTTGCGCGCTGGTAATGCTCCAGGAATGGGTTCTGATGCATTGCCATTTTATGGCAATGAAAACGACTTGATAAAAGTGTATTTTTGAGACGTCTCAAAAATGCACTTTTATCTTGCGCGCTGGTAATGTCCCAGCAATGCCATCTTATAGCACTGAAAACGACTTCATCTACGTTGTCGTTTATCATAAACACCTCCCAGCGAGCGGTGTTTTATCGAAATACGGCTCGCCTGCCTTGGCCTCGGAGCCCATTCCCAGGACCTTCTTTGCTCGCGTTTGAGAATTCTCAAAAGTGGTTCCGGTGTTAGCAGCAGTCCGTGCTAAAGAAGCTGACTTCCCACTGGTTTTTCGTGGGCTTCCCCCTTCCCCTCTCCCCCCCACATGCATCTTCCAGGTGTCTCCGCGTTGTTTCTGGCTGGAGAAGCGCTCTCGCCGCGCCATGACTCACCTGGAACTGTCATCACCCCTCTTTCCACTCCCCCCCCCCCACCCTCCCAACACCTCCTCACTCTCCCCTCCCCCCCCCCCTCTCGCCTCCGCTGGTGCCTCCCCCAGGTGTCCCTGCGCTGGTTCTGGCTGGAGAAGCGTTCTCGTCGCGCCATGACCCACCTGGACCTGTCCCAGCCGTCGCGCCTCCTCAACCTCTCCCCTTCTTCCCCCTCTCCTCCTTCCCTCCCTTCCCCCTCCACTGGTGCCCCCCAGGTGTCCCCACGCTGGTTCTGGCTGGAGAAGCGTTCCCGCCGCGCAGTGACCCACCTGGACCTCTCCCAGCCATCGCGCTTCCTCGAGTCGCTCCCCCTCGCATTCTTCCCGCGCGTCACCTCGCTCTCCCTCAACTGCTCTCTCTACCGCCGCCCCTGCTCCGCGGACCGGCTCTATGACTTTAGGGAATTGCACGTGCTGGAGCTGCTGCATCTCAAACGGATCCTGAATCAACGGCCCTGGGAGAATCTGGAGTTTGTCGACTCGCATTTCCTGCTAGAGGGGCTGCCTAAAACGGGGATGGGGTATGGGGGAGGGTTTGTGGGCGCGGGAGGGGGTGGGGGAGCGGGAGGGGGAGGGGGAGCGGGTGGTGGTGGTGGCGGTGCTGTGAACTTGCAGAGTGGGAGTTTCAGTGCCAGCGGTTCGGTTACAACTCCGGGTGTTACGACCCCGGCCGTTGCAACTCCAGGCATGGCGACTCCTGGCGGGGTAATTACCCCGGGCGGGGAAACTACCCCCGGGTTTCCCGGCTCGGAAAAAACTGCGAGTAAATTTTCCCGGGATGGTAGTGTGGGGTCAAAGTCAGGCAGAGGGCGGTCAGGAGGAGGGGGCGGACCGAAAGTGTGGGATACGATGGAGGAAGAGGAGGTGGTGGGAGGAGGGGGAGGAGGAGGGGGAGGAGGAGGAGGGGGAGAGGTGGCGGGTGCAGGGGAAGGAGTGGCGATGGGGGGTGGGAGAGGAGGGAGTGGGGCTGAGTTCATGCGGATTGGGTTTTTTGACAAGTGTGGGGCGTCGCTGCAGTCTCTGATACTGGAAGGCGGGCGTAATGTTACCCACATTGAGAATATTGCCAAGGAGATTTCCATCAAGGTGAGAAGGAGGGGCAGGGGGGTCGAATGTCCGTCCAAGGGAACAGGGCAAAGAAGGATTAGGACACAGATCCGTCAAGTGAATCAAGTTATTGCAATTGTAGAAGCACTGCTGCTGCTTTTTATTCGTTGTTCTTGGTTGCTGAGCGGCTGTTGGCCCCTGTTCCAGAGTATGCATTCCAGTTTCCCAGTGTAAGTTAACTCCTGTTTTGAGGCGCCTCAATCGTCGTCTCTTTTCTCGCGCCTGGGGCACATGCGCCATAGTACGTACCCCCAGTGTCACCCATTACATCTCTCCACTTGCCTCTCAACTCACAAGCTTCGCCTCATCTTTCACCACTCCAACCTCCCCTCCCCCATTCCCACCCCCCGCACTCCCCGGTTCCCCTCTTTGCTAACACTTCCCCTCCCTCCCTCTCTCCCCCATCAAATGCTAACCCAGGAGCTGGCCCAGTGCTCTGCCCTGCGCCATCTGGTCATCTCCCAGACCGTCAAGGGCAACCCTCCTCTCCTATAACGTGCATTTCCCTTGTTCCCCGCCTTTTTCTGCCGCCCCTTTCCCCCAAACCCCTCTCAGATGCTAACCCAGGAGCTCGCCCAGTGCTCTGCGCTGCGCCATCTGGTCATCTCCCAGACCGTCAAGGGCAAACCCTCCTCTCCTAACGCGTGCCTTTTCCTTGCTCCACCTCCTCTCATCTCCCTCCTCTTCCCCCTCTTCCGCGTCAGATGCTAACCCAGGAGCTGGCCCAGTGCTCCGCCCTGCGCCATCTGGTCATCTCCCAAACCGTCAAGGGCAACCCGCGCCTGCTGGAGCGAGCCTTCTCCTCCCTGCCCCTCCTCACCTACCTCGACCTGGGCAACCTCAAGATCGAAACCCCAGGCGCGTCCGGGCCCCCGCTGCTGGGGGCGACGGATGGGATGCTGAGGGAAGTAGCGCGGTGGTGTGCGGTGGTGGAGGAGGTGTATGTGGGCCCGCATGCGACGGTGGTGGGGGTGGAGGCGGTAGCGGGGAAGTGCAAGCAGCTGAGGGTTCTGGGGGATGTGACTGCTGCGTGTCGGGACTCCATGCACTTGATGAACAAGGTTTGCTCATAGGTCAAATGATGGTGAATAAGGTGGGGTGCAAGGAGGGGGAGGAGACTGGCCTGGGAAGGGATGTGATGCCGATGTGTCACTACTTTGCATGCTCCCAACCCAACCCCTTCACATTCCCTAACCTGCCAACTAACTAGCCTTGCCTTCTTTCTTCCCAACGTCCCGTGCCCGTCCCCTTGCCCTCCCCGCAGTGGGCCACTAATGAGATGAGACGCTAGAGGAGGTGGGCCGCTCATGCCTGTCCCTCATGCCCCTCGCTGCGCTCGCTGCTCATCATCCTCTGCCCGTCTGGCCTGTTTCTCCCTTCCCCTTTCCCCCCAGTGGGCCACCAACGAGACTCTAGAGGAGGTGGGCCGCTCATGCCCGTCCCTGCGCTCGCTGCTCATCCGCTGCAACGCAGACATCACAGACGCAGGCCTGGTGGCACTGGCTGCACTCAACCCCAACCTCACCCATCTCAACGTATTCGCCCTCGCCCACTCCCTCACATACATCTCCCTCGTTTCCGCCGCCCGCCACTGGACCTCCCTCGAAACCCTCATCCTGCCCTTCTGCGAGCGAGACGACCGGGCCGACCTGCCCGACCTGGTGAAAGTTCTTTCTTCCAGCTGCCCGAAGCTGAAAGTTTTTTCGATCGGGCTGTGTGCGCATAGGTATTTTGAGGCGTTGTTGGAGCTGCTGGGATCGTGTTCGTCGTTAGAGTATGTGTATCTGTATGAGAGCTGCCAGGAGGGGCATGAATTCACCATGGCTGATCTGAGGAAGGCTGCTGCCAAGGAGAAAAGGAAACCGCTGATTTGCTACGCTGCTGGGTCGGCGGAGGGGATTTGATGATGAAGTGGGTGGGTGGGGGAGTGGGGTGGTGTGGATGCTGGAAAAAAAAAACTACGGTAAAATTTCTCATCTGGTGTCGTTCTGGGTTGGCTGAAAACGTCTGATATGAATGTTGTCACCTGGATGAGGAAATGTGTGATAGCATGAGAGCCAGTGCCCTAGATATCAGACTTTTTACTGATTCAGAGTTCGTTCAGGCTTTTTTTTGGTACCTACCGTATTACGCGGCCCAATCAGGCTTTCATGCGCTGGCAGGCAGCTGCATTTCACCCGAACCATCGAGAAGGGGCTGGAATGCCCTGCCAGCGCAGCATCTTCGTGCCGCGATAACCTCCTCTCCGGGTTCAGACAGGGGGTACCCGTCTCTCCCCGACGAGGACCCCGAGGCGCTAACCAGAAGGGGTCCCTTTGAATCTCTCATTTGTTCTCCATCTCTCTCAGTTTCTCGTTCGGGTTCTTGGTAGTTCTCGCCTGGCTGCCGCCGCCATGGCGGAATTCAGCGGCACCCACTTCTTGTTCAAGAAAAAGCCTACGCGAAGGCCCGCGTTTAGAGTAGACGCTGACGGGTGGTACTCCCGTATCCCACCAGAACCACCAGAGCCACCACGGCCTCCTGCGCCTCCTGCGCCTCCTGCGCCTCCTGCTCCTCCTTCGCCTCCTGCACCTCCTGCGCCCCCTGTTCCTCCTGCTCCTCCGCCTCTGGGTCCTGTGTCTCCGCAACTCACTGGCAATCAGCCCGTGCTCACGATACTGCTCCCATCGGCGTTCGACAAATACCTCTCCGAACCGGAGTCTAACAAGGCGCAAGATGAGTACGTGGAAGTGGAACACTTTCCTGGACGACGTTGGGGACAGCTCGACGATTGCCCTTGGGACGAATCTGCGGTCGGCGCCGACGATGATGTTGCTGACGCAGAGGAAGCGAGCGGCGCTGACGGCGCCGAGGGTGGCACGGAGGCTTCCGCCGGGGGCGGCGCCCAGGGCGGCACCGCTGACGATGTGTTTCCAGAAGGTGTTACGGGCGACGCTGACGACGACGGCGTTGAGTACTGGTCACGCGACGGGCTACCCGAGAAACTGCCCATACCAATCTATCCTCCGAATAATCGCAAGCGACCCCACCCCTCTTCACAGAACCGTGATGCCCGCCCCCCCTCTCCCAGGCACAAGCTCACCGACCACAAGCGGCAAGGTTACACCGCCGCGGAGAAGTTGAAGTGGGTTGCTCTGATGGACTTGGCGGTGTCGGTGCGCGCCTTGGCTCGCGAGAGCGGAATCCACCGGAAGTGTCTCACCAACTGGAAGCGGGCGGCGGAATTCCTCAAGGATGTTCACTCCTCTCGGAAGCGCATGCACGGCCGCGGGCGAGCGTCGTGGTACCGGCCGATGGAGTTGAAGGTGTACGAGAAGCTACTCGAGTGGCGCCGCAAGGGAACCGCCGTGTCAGTCGGCCGCTTGCAAGAGTGGTCGCGGGAGTTCATGAAGCTTCTGTACCCGGACAAGAAGTGGAAAGGAAGCCAGAGGTGGTCGGAGCGCTTTCGGCGGCGATGGAATCTGAGCGTCCGCATGAAGACCCGGGTTGCCCAGAAAACCGCAGCGCGTGAGAATTACCCCGTTCAATTTGGCACGTTGATTTTCTTTAATTGTACTAACGCCCTCCGTCTGTCTCCGACGTCTCTTCCACCGCCGTGCAGATGTCGCTGATCAGTGCAAGAGCTTCTGGCAGTTCGTGCGTGCCAAGCGTCGTGAGCGCGGCATCGACACCGCGTGGATCATCAACGCGGACCAGACGCCGCTCTGGCTGGAGATGCCCGCCACCACCACCGTGGAGGAAACGGGTGTTCGCTCGGTGCCTATCAGGAGCGCGGGGTATCAGAAGCAGAGAGTGACCGTGATGTTGGCGTGCACGGCGGACGGAAGGAAGCTGAAGCCGTGGGTGTTCTTCAAGCGCAAAACCTTGCCGAAGGGCGATTTCCCTGCCGGTAAGTAAAGAGGTGCACGGCTCGGTCACTGCGTTCTTTTCAGAGTTCGAATTCTAACCACCCGTGCGTGTTTCATGCAGATGTGGCCGTGGCTTGCCACGAGAACGGGTGGATGGACTCCCCTGGCGTCGTTCGCTGGCTTGAGGAGTGCGTGAAGCCGTTCCTGAAGCCTCGGTTCGGCAGACACGCCACGAGCTCGATGCTGGTGCTGGATTCTTACCGCGGTCACCTCACCGAGGAGGTGAAGGAGAAGCTCCGCGAGATGAACTGCGTGCCGGCGATCATCCCGTCGGGCTGTACGGCGGAGGTACAGCCGCTCGATGTCTGCATCAACAAGAGCTTTAAGGCGTCGGTCCGCCAGCAGTACCAGAGGTGGTTTGAGGCAGAGGGGCAAGAGCAGCTGACGGCAGCAGGTATGGCATGAGTACAGTATTCCCCCCCCCCCGAATTCTTTGTTGTTGCACTAACTGCTTTCCACCGTTCTCCCGTAATGTTTCAGGGAACCTGAAGAAGCCTTCACCAGAGGTCGTCCTGCGGTGGGTATCACAAGCCTGGAAGGCAGTGCCCGCCGACCTCATCAAGCATGCCTTCCTCACCTGTGGCATCAGCAACCAGCTTGACGGCAGTGAGGACGGACTCGCCATGGCGCACAGGCGGAGCCAGCTGACAGCTGAAGTGGATGTCGACGATGACATCATCGCTGATGGTTTTTTTGGCAACAACTGCCAGGAGCCCGAATCTGACGAGGAGGAGTAGGAGGGTTACTGTATGATCCATGTTACCGTAGGTAGAATTACCCCGGCTAAACTTGTTAGGAGATCTAGCTTAATTTGATGTTGCTTAGAAAAAGTGACAATTTAGTAAATTCTTTTGTAATGCCTCCAATGAAAGGTTAAGGGATGCGCTTATAATAAGGATAGAATTTTCAGGGGGTGCGCTTATAATCGAGTTCCGGCCATAAGTGCCATGCTCCAGATAGAGGCGCCGGCGCCTTTAATCGGACGGCGCCTATATCCGGGGCCATACGGTAGTCTGAAGTTCAGACCTAATTTTTTGTTTTGAGCAACCCTTGTGATCAGTGTTGCACCTGTTCAAAAACCTGATCGTCAGTGTGACACCTTCAAACCCTGATCCATCAGTGTCTTTCTTGTTTTTGAAAATCCAACCCTGTGGCATCAGTGTACCAGTTTAGCAAACCCTGATGAATTGATATTATCGTTGCACACAATAAAAAATTTAGATCATCAAACATGCCACATGGGTGTTGCTCGTCGTCAGTTACTTCAGCAGGCTGAAATTCCGGTTTCGACAGTTGGCAATCGGGAATCCCGGGTTACGGGAAAGGGAGGGTGGGGGAAGTGGGGGGGGGGGGGGGGTATGGTACTCGCTTCAGGGTAAAACTCGTTATGAAGAACAGTAACCATGAGGCATCAATGTGCCTTAAATGTAAACCCTGACATATCAGGAAAATCTTAGCTCCACAAAAAATTACCCTAGGCCATCAGTGTGACTACCAAAAACCACCCTGATAATCAGGGTATCATGGTGATTTATACTGATAAAATTAGCCCTGGTCTGAACTCAAAGTTTTTCTTTATGTACCTTGTCTGTTTTTTCTGAGTTTTTTTTTATGACTTCGCTGAAATTTCAGCCTAATTTTATGAGTGTAGGCTGATCCCTCAGCCTTGTATCGGGGGTGCACTTTGAAATCGGCGATACAGGGATTTCCGCCAGCCTGGCGGCATGTTACGTGTAGCACTTACACCGTCGATCATGGGCGGGAAACCAAAGCTTCCCGAGCTGTCAGAATCCCAACCACTAGACCACTGGGATAAAAGGGCTTGTTTCAGTAGCGGGTCAGTGCGCCCATAACCCCCCAGGCAAACGCGCCTGTAACCCCCCCTAGGATCGATCGGGGATCTCACAGTGCAGCTCTACTGACACCCCCCCACACTGGGAGGCCCAGGACTGAGCACAGTGGCAACGGCCTACATGTGCATACACCGGGATTCGAACCCGAGACCGCTCTGATACCATGTCAGAATCCCAACCACTAGACCACTGGGATAAAAGGGCTTGTTTCAGTAGCGGGTCAGTGCGCCCATAACCCCCCAGGCAAACGCGCCTGTAACCCCCCCTAGGATCGATCGGGGATCTCACAGTGCAGCTCTACTGACACGAGCGCGGCACCGCACAGTCGCGTTGGTACCGTAAGCCCCCGGATAGAAGCGCAGGCCTCAGATAAGCGCCGGCGCTTATAAAAGGATGACGGCGCTTATATCCGGTCCTCGATTATAAGCCCACCCTCTAAAAAATATGATTTATTATAAGCGCATGTTGTTTTTTCATTTGAAAACCTGACGAAATACAGATTTTTTTTTTACATTATCAGGGAAACGAACTACAAACTCGATTTCCCACACCCTGATCTCACCTTTTGCGCGTCTAGTCAACATGTGCTGTCATTCTGTCAGTTTGAGTTGGCAGGGAATCACTCCCTGCCAAGCTGCGCGAGAATCAGATTCGCGACCCTATATGTTTTTGACTCGAATACAAACGGCAGAACGAGATCTACAGTTTGGTGTAAAACAGATAGAAGTTCTTTTCGCCATTTTATAAACGCCGGCGCTTATACAATTCCTCGATTATAAGCGCTCCCCCCTAAAAAACAGTGTTTTTTATAGGGAAAATATGCCGTTCGTAACCATCATGGGACTCGAAAACATTTTTGGTAAAAAAATAAAGGGTACGGTCACTGCAAAGGGTGTTTTCACGCGACTGATAAAGCGTTTCACGGAATCAGTCACAATCAGCTGGTAAAAAAAAACGCGAATGGTCACAGATGAAACTCCCGCCAAAACAAAATGAAACCCAGAAAGAACCTGGATGCATTTTCGGATGATCAACCCTAAACACGTAACTCGCCAGGTGTTTAGGGTTGATCCGTTCCCAAACCGCATCCGATTCCGATTGGGTTTTAGTTTTTTTACAAGTTCGCAGATTGGTTGGGCGCGA